TGAAGTTTCCTGTGAAACAGATTTCACTCACGCCCGTTGCCTTCTTCAGCTATGTTGCACAGTAATGCTGCACTGTGTATATTCTTCAACCACTACTTCTTCTCCTTCTTTTTTTGGTTTCAGACAGCCTACACGCTTCTTCAAGGTGTTGTCACCACGAACTGTTCACTACCATTTCAGTTCAATCCTCTATACTTGCTCATTTGAGTGTAACGCCAACCTCTACAGTCACCAGTCTGTCAGTTCAGCACAGCCATAGTGCAAAGATGTCTGCCTCTATTAAATGTACAACCTCTCCTATGTTAATTTAAATAGCAATTTCTAAGGCAACGCAACCATAATGATTTAGACATTTAGTTCGTAGATGATCATAATTAGCATTTCTTTGTAAAGCATATTACATTTCTGCCGGTAAATCTTTTCAACAATTACATACTGTAGCTTCAAGTGAAATCTTCACCCCCAATCCTCATCCTGTTTCCTGTTTGAATAATCAGCTGGAGATTTCAGCACCTCTAATGCTTGTACTGTGCAATTCTGATGAGAAGTGGGTGTGTAGCACTGCAGAAGCTGAGTAGGGTAAGTTGCTTTCTCTTATTGTTGCCTGACTTCAAAGATGCCAATCCACTATATTCTTCTGTGAAATCCCCCAAAACCTGACAACATTAGAATACCATCAAACACTCAGCTGCCTTTGAAATGCCACTGACACAGTTTGGCGCTGCAATTTGCAGCCTCTAAAGAGTCAGCCATGTTATTGAAATAAATCTGGGACTTGTAATGGAAATGGAAATGAACACATCTTTCATGCTTCGGCTTAGAAGAGAGAGTTGAATTTTTGAGATAGAGCTTTGTTTCCCCATAGAGTAGGCTGTTGACTTTGTAGCTTGCCCTCGTTGTCCATTGCAGCCTTATTATTTTGCCAGTATTTGGTACTGGATATGCTTGATTTCTCATCCTCCTTTTTTTTTTTCCCTTTCTTCCTCCCTCTACTGTATATTCTTTTCTCCTTTTTATCCAGTTGGTAAAATAAAGATATTTTTTCAGAGGAAAGAGTTCAGAAATTCTGCAGTGAGAGCCAGACTGAGATACAAGGTTAAATGTACCAAATGAGAGTTCTGATAAACCGTAGTATTGATTAGATTGCCAGGCAGCCCTAACAGTAGACCTTGTATAATACATGTGGTGCTGCATTGATGGAAAACAGATGTTCATGGACTAATAGAGAGTAATATATATTTATCTGTGAAAAGTGAAAGAATAATATAGGAGTACTTTGTGTGCACAGCTCTGTCTGTTCTGGTTCTTTATAGCCTGCTTATTTGCATAGCAGGAAAGAATGACAAGTGAACTGAAACAAGACCAGATCTTTTGGTTGTGCCCGTTCTGTGGATGGGGTTGGTAGCATGGCCTTTTATCAGTCGCTACATTTTACATTTATGTCCTTTTTTTATTTTTTATGGTGGATGAAGGGTTATTTCTGATCAATTTTGGTTGACAGAGTTATTAGCAGGAGCAGTGGGAGCAACATAAATACTAATTTTACACAATTAATGTTTTTAATTGTGTAAACAAAACATAGAGCATCATCCACAAACTGTCTTAGATCCACATTTTTGCCCTGTGATTGATATTAATAAATCTGTTATTATTTCTGTATATATAAAGAGGTTTATCTGTGGTTCATTTAATGTAAAACTGTATCCTTTTTGATTTTTTTAATTAACATTACATGTAATACATATTGTTCAGAAACATAACAGGGTTAATGTTAGAACATAAGTGGTACATAAGTGATCATTTTCTGTGGTTTATTTCATTTTAATACTAGACCTTTAAACAACCCAGAACTTTATTTTTAGGATCAGCACAGAAGATGTGGAAGAGAAGACTTTGTTCCCTGTTTATTAAGCAAGTTAATAAACGTAATAAAAGTTTTTATTTTCTATAAACATGTAATATTGCACTGACTGCAGAAAAAAGAAACAATGTGATTATCTAAAGGACATTTAAATGTCTTTAACTAATGTAAATGCTTAAATTTTTGTAGCTCAGATAATGGTTCTAATGCTTTCTGATCCCCATAATGACCTTGAAGATGCAGGATGAATATAAATAAATTGGTTTAACTTATAACCAGCCAATTCTTGGTCAGGTCAGCATTCAGGTTTTACAGCTAACTTAAATCTGGGTAAAGCTTGTTCCAACAGTTTCTGTGCAGAAGCACGTTCATCTGGCTCTCTGTTCAGCTCTGGGGCTGCTCTGAAATGGGTCATGTACCCTATTGTACTCAGTGTTCCCAGATATATTTCATTAGGGCTCTGTTGCTTTTGACTCACTGTGAGGAGATTGATCAAACATCCATGTCGCTTCTTACTTCTTCCACAACCAGAGTAACATGCAGCTTGTAATCTGAGCAATCAAATTGCAAATATAGGAGCCACAGGTTCACTGGTATGCATTTTCCTTCAAAATGTGTAGTAAAGATCGAGTTCAACTGACATGGGAGCACAAAGAAAGGGTGATAATGATGCAATTTAATCTGATTTTGGATCAGATAAATAAAAAATTTAATGATACAAATAATAATATCAAGACTTCCGGGAAGAGGATGGGGGCATAGCCATTTTCAGGGGGTCTTAAGATCAGTAAGATCCCCCTATCCTGTCATTGATCATAGTAAATCTGATGAAGTAGACAGTAAGTTCAGCTGTTTCTCAGTTGATTTTTCTTCTTTACCTAATGCAACAGAGAATTTGAAAAATGGTCCAATCCAACACATTTTGTTGTAAAACGCTTACTGCCACTACAAAGGTATTCAAGTATCTGAAGTCTTTAAGTGTTGCCAGAGGTTTGTGATTTCAGGGTTCTACCCAGTACCTTAGCTGTGTCTTGGAATTCATTATGTTGGACAGATGGATGGCAGGTGGCACCAGTGAGGCCTCAACTTTCGACAGTGTCTATACTGTATTTTCTTCTTGATCCATTGGTATTTCTCAAGCTTCTGGTGTAGTCCTATAGCCTCGTGAGACCATCCTGATCTCGCGAGCTTTCAAGGTTTCACTCGCAGATCAGTCTGGAGACTCTCCGTTAAAGAAAATTTGGAGCTGTTCACCAAACGAACGTCCAATCAGCGTTGGCTTTGAGGCAGGTTGAGGTGTGACGCAACGAGAAGCGCGACAGTTCAGTCTAAAGAACATGGCGGCTTCAGCCGATGAAACTAGCGTTAGCGTGGCTATCGAGCAAGTTTCATCGGAATTACAGAGTATTTCTTCACTGAAAGAAGGAGGAGACTTTTCTCAAAGGAAAAGAGGTTTTTGCTAATCTCCCGACTGGTTTCGGCAAGAGTAGCCTGGCTTGTGGTTGTGTTTTCGTCATCGCTCTGTTAGTACGTCATATGCTTTGTTGATCTGATTGGTTTATTTGGCCCGTCTATCACCAACAGTCTATCAGCTAACCAGTATTTTCGCCCCTTCCCAAAATTACATCAACGGAAGGTTTCCAGATAGATATGCAGAGTAAATCCATCTGGCAGAGTCAGGTTAGTAGTCCTATGGCCCACAGGATAACTGGTGCACCCTGCAGTCGTACAAATATCCTAAATATACAGCAAAGATACAATGGAATGGCTTTAATTAAAGCATGTGTTTGGATGGCCTAGTCAAAGTCCAAACCTTATTCCAATTAAGGATATCTTCGAGACTTGTAAACTGTATGGTAAAATATTCTCCATTCAGATTTAGCTTAAACTTCTTAAAAAAGAAGAGGGGGTCAAAAGTCAGTCTGTAGCTGTGTGGTAGAGACAACACCTAAAGACACACCTTCTTCTACGGTAATTGTGTTGCAAAAAATATTTGCTTGTCAAAATATCAAAGTTTCTCATTTAAAAAGATATTAACATTTTAATTCTAGCTAGCATTGTACCTAAAATTGTAATTGTATTGTAAAAATGACTGTGAATGAGAGGCTTGCAGCCTCCTTTGCATTGATGCTTACATCTGACCCCAGAAGAGCTCTGTTCTTTTAATGCTTTGCTCAAGCCAAGCCTTCGTGGTAACTCAGAGTAGAAAGTCACTGACTCCTCAGTTCAGTCAGAAAACAGAAATTAGACATTTTCCAATATTCAGGACCAGTTTACTTTCAACCTCTTTGCTCCAAAATTCAGTAATTTTAGATTAGCTGAACCTTAACAAACATTTGAAGGCCTGTCCATATTTTCACCTTAAATATATTTCTAGAATATGAAGCTCCAGGTTTAGCTAATGTGAAATCATCCCCCACAAACTGCTTCATCATATGTTAAATTTCTCATGTAAGAGCAATAATAATGAATAAATCAATAAATTAATGTATCAGAACAGTTAATCAATTAGGTCTACCCCATGTCTAGAGCAGGAAATTGATGAGGGAGGCAAGGATCGGTGGTCCTGGGGAGGGGATTCATGTTGTAACACCAATGGGAGTGTGTTCAAAAGATAAAGGGAGGATGAACATGATCTAAGGGGATAATTCCTGGTAGACTCTCAGGGAGTATCAAGCTGAGTGTGAGCACACAAGTCCACACGTGCTTGCATCACAAGAAGTGTTTCTTTTTTTGTTTTTCTCTGTTTCCTTTGACAGAAGGAATAACTGAATTCTCTGCAGTAAAAACAAGCCAGAGGCTTTAATAAGTCCACGCAGGGTAGCATGTTATGCATCAGGTTGTAAATATTGGAGCAGCTTCTGTGACTAGAAAGCACTGACTTTTATTCAAGCCTCACTGACATTCCCTCAGAGGATGCTACTCTTTGCTCAGGTTATGTGTTTATCTTCAGGCTATGTGTTTATATCTAAAAATCCAGCTTTTATGCATTGTTTGACAACCCCATAAGCTTATCCTCCTGCACCGCTGCGTGCACCTGGGTGAGTGCCAGGCTGTCTATTTTTCTTGTGGTTTCTGTTCATAATTTGTGGAGAATAGTGTTAAATATACTTCTGTGTTTTGTGTGTCTTTCTTGCAGTTGAGTTTGATGACTGTGAAGGAAATAAGAATGTGACGTTTGAAGTGTCAGATCCCAACTTCCAAGTGGATGGAGATTTGAACCTCGTTCCACATCAAGACGTGGAGTTCTGTGAGCCAGCGTTGTTGATCCATTGGTTGGGCACACATGCAGATGACATGGCACAGGTGGACATTTCAGGACTTCCTGTTCAGTCAGCAAACACTCTCAGGGTGAGTTATGTGCATATTTCTCTTCAGTTTATTCTTTATTATGAATAATATTTATATCAAAATAAACTAACAACACCTCTTCGAATATGAAAAATATTATTGTGTCTTTTATTATATTATGTATTTTATTCATATATTTATATGTTTTGGCTGCTCAGTGACGCATTGGTAGCACTGCTGCCTTGCAGGAAGAATGTTCCGGGTTCGATTCCCGGCCCGGGGTCTTTCCGCATGGAGTTTGCATGTTCTCCCTGAGCATGCGTGGGTTCTCTCCTGGTACCCAGGCTTCCTCCCACAGTCCAAAAACATCAATGTTAGGTTAATTGGCTTCTCTAAATTCTCCTTAGGTGTGAGTGTGTGTGTGCATGGATGTTTGTCCTGTTTGTATCTGTGCCCTGCAATGGACTGGCGACCTGTCTAGGTTTTACCCCGCCCTCGCCCAGAGACAGCTGGAGATAGGCTTCAGCACCCTTTGTGACCCCAGCAGGGATAAGTGTGACAGAAATTGGATGGATGGATTTATGTGTTCCAAGCAATGTCCTCTCTTTGATGAGCCATGTTCACATAAGTCCTGTTTCTTTTCATAATGTTGCAAATAGTTAATTTAGAAAGAACAGGAAATACAAAATGCTAAGTACTGGTGAAAATTCTCAGTCATCCAGGTCATAGTCATTCCAAAAAAAAAACCAAACCAATGGACTTTGTTTCTAGGTTTGAAGACATTTTGCTTCCCATCCAGGATGCTTTTTCAATTCAAATGTCAGAAATAGCATTGAGTTTGAGGCTACAGTGAGCCCATATAAGCCTTAATTTGCTTAGAAAACATGCAAATTGAAACAGACCATTTGGTTGGAATGGGGGTTGTTTGTCTTCTTTTGTTAGCCTGCAATGCTCCATACTGGTCTATGTCTCTGAAAGGGGGGCCATTAAAGAGAAGTGTTGGCCTGGCTGAATAGGCGGGGTCTTCTGTCTCCCTGTAAAGGGGTCGGGGATGCGATGATAGCAAGAAGGGACTAACTCAACTGCTGTACTGTAGGTTTTTGAAAGCTGAAGTCCACTCTCTCTGTTAAAGGATGGTTTTTCTTTCTTAACATAGATGGCTTCCTTCATGCCCCTCTCAAACCACCTATTTTAACCTGTTTAATTTTTTATTTCATGGAAACAATAAAAACATGGACGTGCTTCTCGGCCACACAATAATATCTGCTGTCCTTCTTTTTTGATGTCTGCATTGGGAGAAATAGTAGTTAAATGTTGTAAGTTTGGTTATTTTCTTCAACATCTCTGTGGATCTACTCTGTTTTACTTTAGTGGTTTTAAAGAATATGGAGGTTTAACAAAACAAATCTTTTCTGATGAATTCATTTTACAGAAACGACAGCTTTACCAACTACCCGATCACTTGTAAAAGTGATGTGTTTTTAAGAGTGATGTGTAAAAATGATGCGTCATGTGTTTTGTTTTATGAATATACATATGTTTGACTGATAAAACATTTAGAATATATAATAATGTGTCAGCAGTGATAAAAAATTAAATTATAGGTCATATTTGATAGAAATATTAAAATAAAAATGTAAATAATAAAATTAAATGTTTAAAAAATTGCTACCCAATGCAAACTGATGAATGTTCCCTTATATTTGCATACTTAGAGTGGCTCCAACCTCAGTTCAGCCTGACCTATTGTCTGCTTTGATCGGTTAGTGTTTTCTTGTAATAAACCTTCCCTCCTGCATGCTCTATGAGTTGTCAAATATGGGGAAAAATATTAAAATGTGTCTCAGTACAACTAAATTATTTTGAAGCAGAAGCATGCTGTGCATGATATACCCCTCACCCAGATTTACATGGATTTTACAAAACCAGGCTACGTTACATGAAACAGTCATGCCTTACAGACATAAGAATCCGTGTGAATACAGCTGTAGGATTTGTTTGTGTTATGTTCACTGGCTCCTGAACAGATGCTGGGCTTCATAACTTACATGATTATTAAAAAAAAAAAAACAGCTGGAATGTTGAAAAATAAGCCAAGTATGTGACATCTAATGTAGCCTGTTTCTGTGGATAGTTTTATTATTGTAATACGGAGCTTTGTATGAATACATACAGTATTTTGGAATGAGGAAAGATTATCTATTCATATAAACTCTATGTTTATGTTTAAATTGAGGACAATGTTGATCTTGCCTTTGAGCTGCAGAATCTTTACAACAACTTTGAATAATTAATTTTGCTCCCAAATACAAGAAGCAACCAAGTTAGTTATTTTCAAAAGGAGAGACAAACCCCAGCAAACAGATATAAGCTGGAGGGGAAGACATTCTGGCAGCGAAGCATTCACACATTTTTTAATTATCAGCGAACATAATTGCAAACTTAAGAAATTAAAAACTTAGTTCAGAAAATGTTTGGAGGCATCTGTTGTCAGTCACGCTCCTGCATATATTAATAAATTGCAATGATGACGAGCCCACTGATGCAGCATGAATCACCATCACTTAACATATTTTCATCACCTTATCAACATCTTCCAATTTAATTTAATGTAAAGGCATTGCGTAGAACAGAGGTCTTCAACAGGGGGGTCCGTGACCCCTAGGGGGTCCACAGAGGTGCTGCATTGGGGTTACGAAAGTTTAGGTTGATTAGACTTTTTTTTATATTCTCCCCTGCAATTTCTTCCACTAATTAAAATTTCTTTAAATACACATTAACATGAATGCAACACACTGTAGTAAACAAATAAATGGAGGCAGAAGATGTCTTTCAGTCATCAATGCACACATTCAGCGACACACAGAGGCTCTTTCAAGCTGGGCACCGTTCCATTCACAACACCTGTCCCATCAACGAGGAATCACAATCACAAATACTTTAATAATCCCAGAAATTACTTTTGTTACATTACTCCATATGTAATAGAGTGACTATAGGACCAGTTTGATATAACACAATTTCATACAATATATATATAATTAGGGGGTCTCGCCATCAGTTTGGAGGTCCTTGACCTGGAAAACATTGAAGACCCCTGGCGTAGACACAGTTCATATATGAAGCTTTAAGAAATCTTTAGTAGATAGTATTGTGACTTTATTATTAGCAGCTATTCCCTCAGTGTAAATAATACAACTATTATTTTATAATTTCACATAAAAATCTAAACATTAGATTTAGAAAAAGACAATCTAATTCAAGACTTTGCACATCTGAAGAACAACACAATTCCAGGTCATTAACATCATGAAATAATAAGATAAAAAGACATAGAAGTAGTGGCATAATGCAGGCAAGTAAAGACAAGCTGAACCACAAATTTATTCTAATGATGTTTCAGTAAAAATTGTAAATATACCACTCAAAGGCATCTTTACACCAATAGGTTTTTAACCTTGATATAAGGAACGTAGGTGTTGAGCACTTTTATCTGGGAGTTTGGTCCTGATTAATAGATAATAAGAACCAAATGCTGTTTCTCCATGTCTGGTTCTGGGTCTGATACCTGCATGTTCTGGAAGTTTGATACACAGTAGACACAGAGTGTATACCAATGCTAAGCCATTCAGTGATTCTTCAACCAGCACTTCAGAACAGGGGAGATGGGCTCTAGTCTCGCATAAGATTTCATTAGGTTCCAATATATAGGGAGAGAATTATTTGCACCCTTTCTCTGAATGGTACAGAGTTGTTGTCAGCTTCTTGTCCTCCTGCCTTCTAGACATGAACATGGTATTCATGTAAACTGGGGCATTGAGATATTTATTTGTATGTTTGCTTAATGCTAAAGATAATAAATGTTTTATTGACCATTGATAAAGAAATAACACCCTAAAAACAATGCTACATTATATGTTTTTTAAATTAAAAACATATTTTTAGTTTAGCTACATATTAAAGTAAAAAAAAAAAAACTAATTGAGGCAAAAAAAAAAAAAAAAAAAAGTGTTTTTTTTATACACATACATACACACATATCTTGTGTCATACTATCCCTATGGGGACTTTCCATCAACTTCCATTCATTTCTTACTAATTTTTATGGCCTAATACTGGGTACAACTTTATAATCTCTGATCCAATTTCTTTTCATTTTGCACTCTCTGTGTAAACAGCGGCTCCAACTAAGCAGGGTGGGCAGATTTGCGCAGATTTTCACTTGCTTCTCTGTGCCACACAAATTAAAACAATTTCCCACATTTGACTTGGAAAAATTATGAAAAGTTATCAAAAAAAATAAATATCAATTGGTGCAGCTTTAAAGCAAAGCCATAATTAACGAGTGTGTAGCATCTCAAACCAGAATGGATGGAGAAAGTTCATATGTCTATATTGAAAACATAATGTGATCTACGTCAAAAGAAAAGAAAAATGCAACAATAAACGCAGTGGGAGGGTTTATATGCTGACTGGGGCATTTTTTGAAGGAGATTGATAAACTGTGGTTTCTTTCCCTCATTGTTTTTGCAAGGAAGAACAAAAATTTGTCTTGATGAGATTTATTTTTCTGCTAATGGTTTCTGCGAGACAAAATAAATCAATCTGATTATTACAAATTAAGTCATTAACTAACAAAGTCTTTCAGGCGAGAGATCTTATGTTGATTATATCTCATTTAATTGTCTTGAATTTTTTCTTTGTTTGAGTGGTATTAAGTTTTATGAGGTTTTAACAGGTAAGATACCAAACAGGAAGTACGCATGAGTAGAGCGGATGTAGATTTGACCAATCAGAGCCCTACTGCCTGCAGCACTGTCTGCAGTCACCTACAATTTTGGAGAGGTGCAGCAGAGTGTCTGCCGAGGGGGCGGCAACGTCTCTGCGTTCACTGCAACACCTACGCAAACAACTTAGTTTCAAAGTAATCACATTAACTTTCCCAAAACATTTGTGTCAGGATTTGGTTGTGGTTTAAGGACCCAAATGCAGAGGCAGGGAGGCAGAGGTGAGTTTCTTGTAGATTTAATGAAAGGTTAAAGCTGCAGTCTGTTACATTG